AAGATTTCAGCCTTCTAGCTTCTCAGATCCTTGAGTTATGAACTGACCCCAAAAAAACTTTGGCGGACCCCGTACGCGGGTACCACGCGGGTTTTGGCGCCAATTTTGGGGATTGGGGCCCGTACGTGCATGTATATTATGTCCTCAAAGTTTCAGCCCTGTAGCTTTTGCCGGTCTCGAGATGAAAAATCGGTGCAGACGAACACACAGACACATACACACACAGACAACCTCTCGTCAATATGCGTTTTCTGCGTTGCATAGCTGCAAAAAACGCATAAAAATGAAGTAGAGAAAATGAATAAGGGAAGAAAAACGAAGTAAAAATGGGAAATGGGAGTATTGAAATATTTGTAATAGATAAGAAATGTTTCTGTCCATTAAGTCGTATACATTTCTTACCGTTACCACAAGGTAATTGATTTTAGTTTTTGTCAACTTTTTTGAAATTTTTTAATATTTTGATACTTTAGTTAGTACGTTTTATAGCGTATTTCTCTAGCTGTGCAAATGGCAGTTCCCCCTGCTTTGACCAATGCTACTGCATTACCTGGCGATCGGGCCAGCTGCTGGCGATTCTGAAGTCTTTTTTCAGTCGTCTGAAGAAATTAACGTCTTTCTTGACAAAAACAATCTCTCCAGAAGATTATCGCACTCGTCAGATCTCAGGCAGAAGGCAGCACGGAGGTCGGTCATCGTTACATTCAGGTGTTCACCACACGTTCCAACGACCACCGGCACAAATATCACTTCCTGCTTGTAATGAGTCCGTAGATCTGAAACAAGATGCAAGGCCTTCGCTGTTTCACCTCAGTTTGGTAGACGAACACTAGAAGTTGCGAAAATGAATTCAGATTTTGGCCTTAAGCCTGAATTCAATTGCCAATGCAAAACCCTCCATATTCAGGCATACTTCGTACGAGTTCCTGAGTAAATTCCAATTTTGTCCAGAAAGATCTGTTTTCTCCTGGGTCCTGAAAGAAAAGGCTCGTTATGATAACTAATTTCTGTTTAAGTTGTTCAAATCTAGAAGTAAGATGTCCATTCAAATTTGATTTTTACAAATTTATTGAATCTTTTAATCCTCATATAGGATATTTTCAAATTTTAGGTGCGCAGTCCTGTATTGCCGGTTATTTAACTGAGCGAATGTTTACACCACCATCAACTAACTTCACACCACCACCAATATCGTCCAAAAAACAAGATAATTGAAATATTGTTTCTTATAGTTTCTTTCTTTTTTACTGACTGTCGGATCTTTCAATAGTTTATTCAGTTTTCGATTTCCGGAATTACCTTTTGTTGCAACGCTTTGAGCTTAAATTTTGTCCGAACTTTATTTTTTACTAAAAATCGCATAGGAAATTTTTGTTTTGCATCATTTTTTTTTGCGTAGATTCCGGAAATTTTCGTAGATTCCGGAAATTAGGAAATTTTTCATTTTGCGTGGATTCCGGAAATTTGTTTTACTGCAAAATGGTTTTCTCTGTATAATATTTTATCGTTTCAACTCTTGTTTCTTCTTTCGCTTCTCAATTTTTCAGTGTTGCTTTGTGGCTTTATAACTTGTCCATTGTTTTGATGTCAATTTTCTTAATTTTAAGTGTGTTTGTGTAAAAAAAGTGGGGCTCAAAAAAGAAAAAAGCGGAGAAATCGTCATTTGCATCAATGGCAAAAAGAAACGTGACGGTGAAACAACATCTGATTTAAACGAAAAAATATGTATAAATGCCGAGTTTCTTGAGCGGGGCGGTTTCAGCAATAAGTTATTTTTAATTATTTCGTTTTCCTAGGAAGCAATAAACAGTTACAGCTTAGAATAATAAGAATTTTGCTGTTGAATTATTGTGTCTTTAAAACGCTATATCGTTCAAGAAAAATCCGAATGCTTTCCATTCTTTCAAGAAAAAAAAACCCAGGTTTTTTGAGGGATTTTGAACTTGAAGAATATATTTCGAACAAAAAGTCGAAAACTCCTCCATGTTCTGTCTCTGAAATGCGGAGGTATTCGGAAGTAGCCGCCCGAGCAGTCGCACACATCTCAACAGTATTGTTACTGTACTTAAATTATTCACGATCCCCTGTTATTTATTTTATCTCCATCTAAGCAGATAATTATATATTTCTTTTTTTTTTCGCACTTTAACACTTCACATGTATTGTTATTGTTTAAATTTCCGTTTTTGTTTGTATACTTAATCGATCTGCCGAATTTCACCATATTACTAACTGATATGTTTTTCCCCCTGAATGATACTGTTTTTTTGTATGCGTTTTCTTGTGCCTTTTTCCTGAAAGGAGCTCACTTTTTTTTCATATCATAATTAGAGCGAATTGCCCATCCTGCCGCTTTTATGCCATATTTTGCACAGATAGCGTAATGATTTTTTGGGATTATCACTGAAAATCCCAATAGCTTGAGTTAAAAAAAAACAGCGATTTTAGCTTGATTTAAAAAATAAAAACCGGCGATTTAAATTTTTTTACTCATTTTAATACTTTTATTCAGTTGTATATTCATAGCATGCTTCATCTGTGCAGCTGGCAACTTCTCCAGTTTCTTTGTCCAGTGCTGCATTGTCCGGTGTTTTAGCTTGATGTTGGCGATCCCCAAATGTTCGTTTCGTTTCCTAAAGGAGTTAGCTTAGTTTTTTCCTCCCAACAGAAATAGTTGGCAAAGCTTCAACTTCACTATCTTTTCTCGAACATCACACTTTCCTAGATTACGATGAAATGCCTTACCAACGAAAGATACTTACTTTAAAAGTTATAAACTGCGAGGAGTCGGAGTAGGTTTTAGCTTATTTATTGAAGAAGATTGAATTCTTTTGTATTCCCTCATCCTGAGAACTTGCCATTAAATGTTGTATTATTAGCTGTATGATTTCGTCTGTTCTGTATAAACTCTCTGAATATTGCGCATGTTGTATGCATTTTTGCACCAGCTTACTAAATGTTATTAAATACATAATGCAATTGATTTAAATATCACGTTTTCCCCATTTAATCAAAAAATGCGATGATTTGATGGGTTTTGTGTATTTGAGGTAGTAGGTATGCTGAGATAAAAAGGCCAGCAGGAAGGCCATCGATGCGCTGATCCGATCCGCTAACTCGATTATATGGTGTCGGCGAAGCCGAAGATGCATTTTAGTGATGTGTGATGTTTGCTGAGAATTGTGGCGGCGTTTATCGCCGCCAATATCTTAAAAGCTTTCGTTTCTTTTTTTTTTTTTTGTTTGGAGATGCTTTTAGATTTCGCATCTCAATTTGCGTTTTTTCGGAGATTGTAAAATAAGACAGAGCGGTCCAGACCTCGATCGCTCCATCTTTGATTCATTCTGGAAATTTCAATGAAAGGAAACTGGCTGGCGACGAGTGCGGTCTTCCACGACTCCAATTTTCCCACGCGTCTCTGGTTCTACGCGGCTTCGATTCCCTCCGCCAAATTTCTCGGATCCTTCCCGCGTGAAAACTACTGCGGTCCGCGTATCGATTCTCGGGTATCCCGTCACGACTCTTGTCGGCAGGTTGTTTAACTCTGTCGATCTGAACCACCTACCAGAAAGAAAATTTTCCCGACATATGGTGTATTGTGGGTGAGGTGAGCTCAAGAGAGGACTCGATGGCGTGGTTGTCGGTTCGGTCACTGAAAAAGATTAATAGTGCGTCAGCGACGGAAGCGTCGCATCAAGTA